CAGTTCGTAGTGCTCATGACACTTGCAGAAAATGACTAGCATATAACCGAACGGACGAAATGAGGATTTATTATGCCATTCTGCGATAAATCCAGTGAAAATAGTACGAAAACAACGTTCAGCAGGCAGAGGCGACCGCGAGATACGCAAGCTGAACCTAAATCATACTGTGGTATACAGTAAAACATTTGTGATTTGCAAGTAGCAATGTTCTTCATGTAAATTCGTCAACCGCATATAATTGTTTAATGAATATAGTCAGGAACACACGCAACGCATTTCGTTCATACTAGGTATGAACTAATTGAATTGGATAAATTAATATTGTTTAACGTCTTGTTTCTCAATGAGTTTATGTGCATTCAATGTTCGAAAATACAAGGCTATGGTTAACTCAGCACACCGATTCACTCCTTTTGATATTGCACAGATATAGAATACATCTGCATGTCGGAATGCTTTAGGAAAACTCTAGGGTAGCGCAGAAATAAGAGAGATTGAACATTAAGCACGTTTAAAAGAGCAGAAAGAAAAGGTTCGGTAGTTTAGAAAAGATTGGAACCCAAAGCTATTTGGTGGGGCCTTGCTCAGACTTTTGCAAAGAAACCAACTAGAAAATCAAAATAAGCTCTGATAGTGGTTGAAATTAATGGAGATTTATTTTTGAGTTATGATAAGCTCAAATAATGCGGATTCACTTTGTTAACACCGCAGTTGCATATGATTCATTGCGAAATGTATTCTTTTTACTTTGGATTTTCAGCATATTAATGAGGTTGGGATGAGCATCTACGCATTGCACGACACACTTCGTAAAAAGGGTAGTCACACTAGAATGCCAGATCATTTCGCTAAAATAAATCAGCGTCCGAATAGCCAGGTAATTTGCAATAAGTTAGTCGAATAATGTAATACTCATTTAAATACAAAGAATTTTTGAACTTGGACTTGATTTCGGTTGCTTGATTCCTCTAAATTTGCTGCGGAAGTCACATTTTATACCTACATAATAATTACCCCGATAGGAACATTGTTTTCTGCAACGCTGTTTGTTAGAGTCTAAAAGAAATTACGCAGCTACTCCAAACAATGGAAGCGTTTTCCTAAGGCTTTCTTAATGACTCACTGTCACTTGTCGCAAAATATTGCAGCTAAATAAAGAGCTAGACTAGTGACTGTTAACTCCTATGTAGTAAATCGTAAAATCGTAGCAATTAGGACTACAACTAACTTATTTATAATTTTTTAATTTAATTTTTTGCGTCAAGAAGTGAGAATTCATTTTCATGTAAATTTTTCGTTCAAAAAATAATCCCTGGATGGCTTGTATCCAGGATTTAATTTGCTATTTCCAGCAAATTACCACTAGTTTAAATATGAAGCTTTCCACTTATTACAATTACTCACCACAGGTGAAGGATTTGAAATAATAAGTTTCAAGTGGCCAGGCGTTTCCATCAAGATAAGAGGATATTTTGTACTACCTCTATACCACAGCGAATCAAATTCATTTCTTTCTCTATGACACTATGAAATACGTAAAACCCCGTGAGATAAGCGGTGAATACTCATTGAAAGTTCAATCAATCGAACTCACGAAATCACCTTCACGGTAACGAAGTTCTTTAGGTGATAATAGTGGGATAAAACTAAGTAGAATAGTTTACTGATAGATCGATAGATTGATTGATGGATAGACGAACGGACAGATATGCAAATAGTTAACAAGTTAAAAAACAAATAGACTGACAGATACGTAAATTGATAAAGAGAAGTAAATGTTCCTTTCGAAAGTTGTGGCTAGTTGTCTGAAATCACAGTGCGGAATGAAATATTTTTCACTTTACGATCGTGATAAATGCCATCATTTTTTCAGCGATTGACAAAAAACATGCTTGAATATGCCATTGCGAATTTTAAAAGATCTTAAATCCTATCGAAAAATTGCACATTAGCAGGTGTGGGACAGGTACGATCAATCACAATCACGGACTTAGGTCACAAGTAATTAATTTTGTTGTAGAAGCTCATTATAATCTGCGACTCTCCACTTTGCCAGTTAAAAGTAAATAGCTAATAAAAATTTTAAACACAAATGTACTGAAAGAGGAATTAGTCCTAGTACGTTCTGAAAATGACATTAAAGTTGGGTAATATAATACGTTAATATATTTTTGGTACGTTAGAAATGAAAAGACAACGCATTAATTGTATTCTGAAGACAGACGAAGCATAGTCCGATACGTCAGAGCATTCTATGCGTTGTCTTTCCGTTTGTGACTTGGCAAAAGATTAGATCATCACGGGCATTACGAAATCTTGCACGTTTTCCAATTTTAATAAATTTCTATATTTCAGAAGCAATTACGAAAAGTTTTACATTCTGTTTTCATTTCATGATATATTTAGTTGACTTGGAAACTGTGAAAAACGCTCGCTTCCGCTCAAAGAACTTTATCTGGATAAATTCATAATAAAAATGACAATTTATTTTGTATTTGCACAACTATCAAGAGTAAAAATATATTCTTTCAGCATTCAGAATGGGAATATGATTTCAAGTCAATGTTTGTAGTGACTGCTGCTAGCAATGAACGGAGGGTTTTCTTTCTAGCTTTCCACAAGAAATATCATCAAGATGGAAAATGTCGTCTTCCCTGCCATTAGTTTGATTGTCGGGTCTCATTAAAGGTCATAAATGCTATGATTGCATATGCCAGCTCCAAGTTGTAGAAGCACGGCTTGCAGATGCACTCGAATACACTTTCGTGACTTATATTTTGAAAATCTATCATGCGATCGACTGGACACTTCCGGCCCTGGTAATGGCTTGCATGTTTAATGACATTGGCGTTTCGGCCGAAGGACTAAAATTTCCGGAACCAGGACTGGTTTTCAATTGGAATACGATTCCTTACCCATGCTACGCATTGTCAATCGCCATTTCGATTCGAACGTGGATAACTTTACGGATTTCGAACAGTTTCGGTGTCGATAATCACCTCTGCGCTCGATCGATAGCTTTTCGAAAGTGAGCAGGGCCTCGTTTTTCGTCTCGTGAATCGTTTTTTTGATTGCCTCATCAAAAGCTAAAAATTACGGATTTCACCGACGATTTGCACGGCCGCATGAGCGGGCAAAATCGAACGATCATCTGCCTTACCGTGTAACCAGGAAGAATTTCGCCATAGTTTCTAATGCGGTTTCAACCTTCAAACTTAGCATGTCTAGTAAATCACAGCGTCCGCTTTGAGGACCACCCAAGTGACGGCACTTTCTTAGCTGCATCATTACCCGATATCCCTAGCGATAATGGTAATTTTTCTGTTCACTGCATTGTAAACAAAACAGTACTCTAGATGCAAAATTTAAAGGTTATATTTAGTCACGGTTAATATCACCTACGTTATTAGTAGCAGTCATACAAAAGGTGTTCAAGGCACTGCGTTTGAAAAATGAGGCATCGACAATAAATGAGCACTAATTAAGCTACCTGAGATTTGCTGAAGATAGAATCCAAGAGCTGGAAAACACCAGCATCTGAGAGTGACAGAAAGTGGACCAGAAGAAAAATTCTCTGATGCTAAACAAATATGCGACTCAGAGACCTGTCAAAATCGACGGGCTCTGGCTTGAACAATGCAAATCTATGTTTACGGGAGGCAGCTCCTTTCTACAATGGAAAAACGTTTCTGTGAAATCAACCGAACAGTAGAAGTAGTATTAAGCACTTTTGAAAGATTGAAAATAATTTTGTGCAGGAAACTGCGCTTGCGTTCGAAACGGCAGGTTTTCGACCAGTTTGTGCTCCCATTGCTAAGCTGTTGAAACCTATAGTGGACCGCGACCTTGAAAGCAATTCATGAACTACATAACGTAGAGTGGAAACATGCATGTTTGGAATAACGACAAAAAGTAGGAAGGCACACGAATCGATAAGAGCATAAACAAGCACGATGTCATTTCGTGAGCGAAGAAGTTAACGTGGCAATAAGCAGAAGAACCAACCATCGCTGGACTAGAGAGACATTAGACTGAGTTCCAAATGAGGGTAAACAATCATACCGAACTAAGACCTCAAGATCGATGGCATGATAGATGAAAATCAAGGAAAGCGTAAGCTTATGTGGAAGTTTTGGAGAGGCTTTCATCCAACATTCGACCTAGAAAAGTTGATTATGACAATATGACTCTGTCTTGGCCAGTTGGAGGGTGGGCCGTGCGTGAACCGATCGGCGGACACCGAAAGAACTTGCAAACAGCCAATACTGGATATTCCGGTTGATTTCCCGTTGCAGAAAAACGTGACAGGGAACTGCGAGAAGTCGTGAAAGGGGACAGAAGCCAAAGAGAACAGCAAAGTGGACAAAGATTGCGACTTGATGAGCTTTTTCGCCGAAATACC